ATATTTTTTGATCCTTTCAAAAATTCGCTGCACAACCCTGAGTCTAATGCGGTGTTTACATGGGGCGATTTTACTGACAATCTTAGATGCGATTAGTTGAATCAAAAGTTTGCTGCGCTTCAACTTCATTGGAAGCGATTAGTTGAAGGGCCCTTCACACCAGGCGATTGTTGCTCATGTTGCCACATGTAAACACCGTCTAAAGTATTTGTCAAATAAAGACAATTTCGAAAATATAATTTCTTTCGTCTTTTTACATTTTTCGTCATATCCTCGGAATTTATAGTCGGAATGTAGGTATCACCGAAATATAAGAAACAGATCCCTAGGTTCGCCCAAAAACATCTTTTTTAATTTCCTTGCTAAAATACTTTAGACGGCGATTTTTTTTGTAAGGTCTCATGTACAATTGTACAGCCCGCGAAAAAAGACAACACATCAATATTTTTACGAGTTTTAACTACTCTTATTTTGCTTGTATATATTTATATCTACATATGTTACTTAAACGTTCCTGTTTTTCCCCCTACTTAGACATGTACATTGAACAACTTAACGACTTTTAAGCTCAGCCGATGAAGATACAAATTTAAAATAAAATGTCTATCTTACATTAAAATGTCAATTTTCGGACTTGTATGGTTGTCGATCTCACCGAATCCAATAAATTTTTATAATTTGGCTTGGGTGATTTTCTTGATTTTATTTTAAAATTAAACTGATAACGTAAAAGAAAAAAAAAAACGCCTAAAACCATGACTACTTAAATAAAAATGATCTCATCGACGAGAGCAAAGAGCAAAACAGACATGAAAAATAATAAAGAACCAAATAATGTATTAAAAGCTTAAAAAATTCGAAAAACTATGTATATATGTAGGTAAACAAATGTCAATAAATGAAAATACAAACGCACGGACATATTTATGTAGATTTTTACATACAAACATGAGTACATCTGAATACACTAATGTGCACATTAAACAAAGCACAATTAGCAAAGAAAGGAGAAGGAACTTTATCTAGTATTTTTGCAGCTAATGCCGAATTTCCGCTAGCCATTGAAATGAAAAAAATGTTTGCCATTAGAAAAATACCGTCTGGAAACTAACATCATGACAATTTTTATGAACGTAATTGCAGTGGTATTTTTTAATGCCCAACATAGTCAATAAAAATTTTGTCATTTAATGCCTAGTAGAAGCTCGCCATAAGAAATGTGAAATTTTAAAAACTAATTCAAATTGTGAATTCAAAAGTACTAAATCAACAATCTTTCCAGAATATCAAAAAGTCATTCCAATTGGGCACACAGTATCTTAGGGAAGAGATATTTTAAAACCAATTTAATATATGGAAAAATAGGTCCCTTGCAAAAAATGCGACTAATCAAGTAGAAATCCTGGGATTAGTTTCAAAGAAGCATGTAGCTAATGCCGCTTTAGAACACTGATTTCGAATAAACTGTTGCCGTTTGTTTCAGCACTATGTCTGTCTGACACTACATATGCCAACGTCTCATATGAGCCTTCATTGCTTAAGCGCATACTCGTAATACAATTGAAGAAGAATTGCAGCCGAATGGGATGAGTCGAAGTATTATTAATTCCCAAACGTACCCTCGCATAAGCGATTGTAGCCAAAAAAAAAGGCACGCCAGTCGCTTCTCTTCTGTGCCAACAGACGTCAATTGGTAATGTTAAGTGAAGCCAAGTACTTCTTCACGCAGACGAGGTCTTCCTCTTACTATGTTACCAGCATCGCAATCCGTGGACGACATGGATAAGCCAGTGCAGCCGCACTATTTCTATATCGTTGCCGGAGACTATATGGGAACTATAGCGGAATCTTACCGGTGACTAATTCCTATCTGTTAGTTGTTGTTTTTTTCTAGCCCTTTATAGAGAGAAGTATTGAGGACTGTTAAATAAAAGGTTAATGGCATTTCCAACTTTCTTCTTCTTTCGAAGCTTCCTTTCAGCAAACCTATGCAGAACCTCTGGAGTATGATGCATTTACTTATAAGCCACAATACGAATTTTCTTCGAGTTCTGAGACTAATACTACCTTTGCTATAATCCTAACGAACATTTTTTTTCAGAAGCTATTAGTAGAGTTTACTGCAATGCTATTTAGAACTCAAATATTAAAAAACCTTTTTTCTTAAAAAAGAAAAAATTACAGAGGCATTTTCAAAGAAACCTATTTTGAAACGACTCGCGTCGAGCACGAAAAATGTCACTGAAAGTTGCTTAACGCCGAAACCGGCTTGTCTTCAAAACCAACTGCACAAGCGACGCGAAAAATTCAACACTAGCAAATAAATTTATCTGCCTTGGATAGCCTCGGGAATAACTAGCCTTAAGTTTTGAAGCAAAAATTCTGGTTGAAACAATTAGCCAGCACGGGCGGCGTTTCCTACAGCCAGAACTTAACGATTTTTATGCCAGCACCAAAGCAGTCAGCTGGATTTGATAGAGTTTTCTGTGCCGGAAGAGATAGTCCTAGCTTGGTGCTTTCAAGAATACTTTTTCAGCATTGGCAGATACTCAAAGTTATTTCAGTGAAGGTTTTTCTGCTGCTATTCATGCGAAATTGGGTCCTAGTACGGTATGACCACAACACAGATACAAGTCCTTTAGTATAGGCAACCCTACTGACCGAACTTAACAAACGTGCTGCCTAAATATGGCCAACCTACCTGCCGCTATCGAATAGAGCACCGTCAGTAAATCTATATTTTGGCAAAACGAAAATTATAATCATATTGTATAATGTATTAAGTAAACTCAACAAATTTTAAAGAAAACGCTTTAAGAAGACTCGATATCCTACATTCAATAAGTCTCATGAAGAGGCAGTAAGTCAAGTTTCAGAATGTTGAGGCCAATAGACCCAGTGAATTTTGGTTGGACAGTGTTACCAGAATAGAAATCTGCGACCCTACCTGGTCGCCAGTCTCTCCAGTGAAACCAGTGTCGCTAATTTCGGGTAGCTTCGACCCTACTAATGTATGGGCAATATCTGTTGTCAGTGCTGATTAATAAAGCGACGATTAAAGCGTTTGCACTGTCCAATTAAAAACAAAATGTCCGCAAACCGCCAAAGCGATCGGAAAGGATTGGAAACATTTTCTGAGGCTTGTAGGATAATTATTAAAAATTTCAAAATTATTGGCTCTGAGAGAACTTTGGAAAACCGGGAGTTTAAATGTGAGGAACTGGACATTAAATGTTTGTTTTATAAAGATGGTTACTTCGAACCTTACGAAAAGTAATTTAAGGTTAAAACTCTATTAAAAAATAAAGAGTAAATTTAAGTACAATTTAATTCCAGGCATTTAATCAGATTTTTTTGCGATCCAAAGGTTATCTCCTACGTTTAACAAATTCTTCAATTTAATGCAAATCCCTTTGATAATCCGCAGATTGTTCGATTTGCTAAAAAAAAAAACCTCTCCAATGTTATGCAAACTCCGTGAGACGTCAATCAATAATATTCTTGAATTTCCATCTACCATTTAAGCAGCAAATTCATTGAAAAACAACAAACAGCTGTGTAAATAAAAACCGAATGCTTAGCCAGCCAGACTGGCATCCAACAAGTCGGCAGGCAGCCAGCCAGCTAGTCAGCTGAATTCAACGGAACTAAAGGCATTTCAAATTTATACATATTTATTTATTTATTGCATGAGTTGTACTTTGTACCAGCACAATACACACAAAAATATCTCACAGTGTACAGTTGCCACAAAAGCACACAATAATTAGCGAAAGACAAAACAAGAAAAAAGGAGAGAAAAACAAAAATGGGCGGCGCACAAGCAAACCAGCTGCCAGCGCGGCGAAATAGTTGCTATGGACCTAGAAGAGAGCGTCAATGGGAGGCAGAGAGCGCGCAGACACAAAAAAAAAACTGCACAAAACTATTGCAGTAAACAAACGACGGAAACATCACCTGAGTAGCCTGCAAGTTGGTAAGCATTTTGGCACCAAATGCGCGCCGTTTGGGGTTTTTTTATTTGTTGCTTAGTACAAAGAGCAGACAGAGCGCTAAGTGCTGAGTGCTGGCGTTTGAGGAAGCAGACAGAAAAGAAGAAGTATCGCTGCAGACTGACACAAGCGCTATTAAAATGAGCTCACCTGACTAGCGTTGGTTATTAGGAATGTATATGCTAGAGAGATTTTTACTACGCTGGTTGGCACAATTCTTCAATGGGAAAGGATAGATGATGTTGTAGGATGAGTAAGCGAAAGTACAACTGATGTATAGGGATGAGTAATCGTGGTTGCACCGTGGAAGAAAAATAATAAATTTTATCAAAAGGGTTTTAATTTGCCAAGCAAATACAAACAAAAAGAGGTGTTAATTTTTAATTTTCGGGGACCATTACACTCGTGAAATATTTTTAAACTCAAAACAAGAAAAAATCGGTCAACTAAAAAAAAAATATGAAAATAAAAAATTAAATTATAACCAATTAAAAATGTTAAAAAAAAATTTATTGAACAGAAATTTTTTTCGAACTAGTTAAACATTTCTTTTTATTAAATAAATAAAATGAAAAAATTTTTACGTTTTATAAAACAATCATGAATTTTAAAAATAAATGCAAAATTTTATTGAAAAATTACCACGCTTTATGAAAAATCTTAGAAATTTAATAAAAAACTATCAAATTTTATAAAAAAAATATGAAATATAAAAAGATATATAAAAATTTTCAAACTAAATTTTATTTAAAAAAACATGAAAAATATTTAAAAAAAAGTTTTAGTGAACCAATTTTTTGTTAAGTTTGATGAAATAAATACTACAAAAAAATTTATAAAATAAATTTTGTAAAAACTTGTATAAAATAAATTAACAAAAAAAATTTGTGAACATTAAAGAAAAACGTTATTTATAAAATAAAGTTTAATAAGAAACCAATTAACAAAAAAACTAAATCAAGCTAGGAAAATTTAAAGAAATTTCATTTGAATTTTTTCAATACATACACTTTTGATATGCTCATCCACCAGCAGCGTCTCAACCAACTCAACGCCCAAGTTGGCGGCAGGATTTGTTAGAGTCAACAGCATTGGCACAGACATTTTGCAGTTTTTTGTCTTTTATTCTCGTTTAAAATTAAATAAATATTTGTAGAAATGGAATTTAAGAAAATTTTCTTAACACTTTTTGTGATTCAGGCTGGCAGACAAAACGCGGAAGCGGAAATTCGCTGCTCTAGCCTTGGTGCACGGGAACTTGTAGAAAATATTGCGTAGCAAGAAAATTCTGTATTTTCTTTATTTTGATTTTTTTCTTAGCACATTTTGTGTTTAGACATGTTTTCTGTTTGCTTTTAGTTAAACAGCACTTTGATACAAACTGCTGGAATAATAATTTTCACTTTTTTTATAAATTCGGTTTATTGCTGTTTTTTTTTCAAGTAAATTTAATGCTACGCAAACACTTTGTATTTGTCAGTAGCACATATTGTCTTTTGGTTCCTTTGCAGTGTCTTTTTCATCGGCACTTTTTTTGGTTTTACAAATTTTTGTTTTGCTTTGAAAATGTTCCTTTATTTTTTTTTTGTACTTAATTTTTGTAAAAGTCACTTGTATACTTATATTCTTAACTTTTTTTAATATTTCTCCTTGTTTGCTTAGTTGAGGTCCTTCCTCATACGTACTCTTAGAGTATAGTGTGTGTCTTTTTCGCCACAAATTGAAAAA